TTCCTTTGTTGAGTACAGAAGGGTTAGAGAAGCTTTGCATTATGCCAACCCAACCATAGAATTCTGGTGTAGGAACACAGCAGTTTCAGATGTACTTAAGATCTATGAGAGGGAGAGATTGAAGCTTAGACAGATATTAAGTGAGATTCCGGGTAGGGTTTGTCTAACGACTGATCTGTGGAGAGCAATAACCATTGAAGGTTATCTCTGTCTTACTGCTCATTACGTATATGCTGAGTGGAACCTTAGAGCTAAGATCCTTTCCTTTTTCGCCTTCCCACCACCCCATGCTGGTCCCAACATTGCTGTGAAACTAATGGATCTGATTAAAGAATGGGGTTTGCAGAAGAAGGTCTTCACAGTAACTGTAGATAATGCTTCCTCCAATGATAACATGCAAGGAGTTCTCAAGAGGCAACTTAGAAAGGATTTAGTTAGCAATGGCGAGTTCTTTCACATAAGATGTGCTGCTCATATTCTGAACCTTATTGTGCAAGATGGCTTAGCTGTGATAAGTGAGGCATTGGAGAAGATCAGGGACAGCGTTAAGTATGTCAAGATCCATGAGTCTAGAGAGCTGTTGTTTAAAAGCTGCGTTGAGACTCTTGCGATAGAAAAGAAAGGAGGTTTAGTTTTGGATGTTACTACCCGGTGGAATTCTACTTATCTGATGTTGTCTAGGGCTCTTCACTACAAAGAGGCATTTAAGCATATTGCAGAAATTGAGACAAGTTACCAGAGCTTACCTTCAGAGTCTGAGTGGTTAAGAGGTAGACTGATTTGTGATTTGTTACAGCCCTTTGATGAGATGACAAGGCTCATTTCCGGCTCTTCTTACCCGACTGCTAATCTGTACTTCATGGAAGTGTGGAAAATCAAAATTTGGTTGAGAGTAAATGAATTCCATGAAGATATAGTGATTGCTGATATGGTGGCTTCAATGAAGTTGAAATTTCTTAAGTACTGGGACGATTACAGTGACATTCTAGCCATTGCAGCAGTGTTAGATCCTAGGCTTAAGTTCAAGGTTTTGGAGTATTGCTTCCACAGTTTAGATCCAGCAACTTGTAAAGCCAAAATGGATAACATACGCAAAAAGATGGTGAAGCTGTATGGAGTTTACAAGAAGAATACCAGTGCACACTCTTCACAAGAAGCAGAAGCAGATGCTCTACCAGGTGGTTATGGTGTAAGTTATCTTTAGATGTATATTTCGATGTATGTTTAAGTTATCTACCAGAAACAGATGCTTTAATAATCTTTTTTTTTGGCAGGGTTTCTATGCAACTTTCTCTCAACAGGCTGGAACAAGCAAATCTGCGTTCGATTTGTATCTGAGTGAACCTGTTCTTGATATGGTTGCAAATAAGAAGTTAAATGTCCTAGAGTATTGGAGGGACAATGCACCCAGGTTTAAGGAGTTGTCTAGAATGGCCTCTGATGTTCTCTCAATCCCAATAACCACGGTCTCATCTGAGTCATCATTCAGTGCTGGAAGTAGGGTACTTAGCAAGTACAGGAGCCGCCTCTTACCATCAAATGCCCAAGCCTTAATATGTGCAAGAAACTGGCTTCGGGGCTTTGAAGTCATTGGTGAGTGTTTTGTTGAATTTATGGTGTGCCTGACTTTGGTGAATGTCTTAATATGTAAAAGTATTGATTGAACTTCTTGCTTTTGATAGCTGGATGCGATTTAGAAGAAGAGGATAAGGAAGATGGCAATGAGGAAGTAGATGGAAATGGAAGGAAGAAGAAGGCCCGACTCAACTAAAACTTTAAGGTATGATCATTAATCTCACTTCTTGTGGAAGAACTTGGTTTAACACTTGTTACCATTTGTTATATTCGTTGTGTTTATATGCTTGGTTATATTCGATATATGCTTGGTCTTAAGAAAGGTAATTAAAACTCTTTGATTTTTTCATTTCCGATATTGTTGGTAGGAGAGTATTTTTGTATTAGTCTTGATGCTTCTTCTTTGATTGATATAGCAATGGGGATATTTGATTCAACTGTTAATTTTATGCTGTTATTTGGAGTGATGAAAACTTTGCAGATTAGTGTTGGCTTTCTTTTAATCGACATTGCTCTTATTCTTTCTCCTGTGCCGTTTCCTTAAATTGTGTGAAGAGTAGTATTCACAGTGATGTATGCATTCCAATGTTAAAAGGAGTTAAGCAATGAGATATTCAGTATGTTTGTTATACCATTTATGTGACACTGGTGTGTCTGCAGGAGTTTATATATTATATATGTTAGGTTATATTCGTTGTGTTTATATGCTTAGTTTGGTCATATTCGTTGTGTTATTGGCTAACTGATGAGATAACGTTGTGTTTTTTTTATAGGAGATGCTGAGAAGATAAGAAGAAGAGGACCATAACATTTATATATTTTCTTATGTTTTTACTTATGCTTTGGATTATTATGAACTTTGTCTATGTTTTGGATTTGTAAAACTATGAATCTATTGTATGAAATTTTTATGTTTTGAAATTGTAAAACATAACCTTAAGAGATTTTAAGAGATTTGGACTTTAAAAACAGAAAAATATTTGGACTTTGCGGAAGGCCCATTTGGAATGTGCCAATTTGGTCTGGACAATTTGGACTTGGTATAATTTGGGCTTAAAAATAATTATGTCCATTTGGTCTGTTGTGTCCATTTGGACATGCCCATTGGTCATGGACAGCCCAATTGACATCTCTACATGCAGGAAACCCGTAACATACATCTTTCCATCCTGAATCAATCTTGATTTGACACCACCACCTGTTCAGCCGAACTCTGCCTTGAACAAATAAATCTTCGTTCTCGCATATCCATCCGAGTAAAAAACTATGTGTTACGCCAGACACATATCTCCTTAGAAAAAGTACACTACATTCCCTCTGAAACTAGCAGTCTTGTAGTATCTTCTTCTCTGAACATCTACCCAATTGTAGACTCTCATGATCACACAAAGACAAACCTTGCATCAGCTGATTTACTTCAACCAATCTGCAACACCCTTCACGCTGACTAAATAATACCATCTAAACAGCCATGAAACACTCATATCAATGAAGGTCTAAGGCGATCCCTAGTTCCAAGAATTTCATCAGATACCGAGCTGAAATACCCACATATATTAGAACACCATCTGCAACCGATTTTACCATGTAGAGAACCCAAGAACACCGTGAAATCCCTCAATGAATCTTCAAAGAACCCCATACCAAACCAGTGAAAAACCCTTGTATTCCACTATACTTTCAACTCTAATAATTTGCAGAACGTGAAGAAACCCGAGACTCCAATGCATATAGCCAAACTCGCCTTGTGACTGGATCAAGGACATCTCTAAAACCTCTCTTTCTTGTGCTAGGAGCTTGCCACCATCTTATTTTGTGAGTAACCTAAATTCCTTCTCACATAGTAGCACATTCTTGCACCCTTGGAGAACCCTAGAGAACCCTGATTTCAAACTAGAAATCATCTCAACCAATTCAACTCTGTTCTTAATCTTTCCTCCATAAACTTGTGCAACTACAGCTAAGAACGTCTAACAGTTTTCCTTTCTCTCTTGTGAACCAAAAATCTCTTTAACCTGATCTTGATCTCGGTCTATCCTCTGATTTTCAACCTAAACAGATTTCCACGTGTAGAATCACGTAACCACCAGCTTCCATTAAACCTTGAAAGCTTCAACACACATCACCAAGTCTTCATAGGATCCGTGAATCATCGTGTCTGAGCTATGATACTACGTTGTTGGCGATACCACTTGCAAGGTTATGGTACCCACTTGTTATGGAAGCTAAACTCTTTGTAGCACTGTCCCTGGACCTACACATACGAGTCATCTATCTTGTTCATGACTCAAGAATTGTTTACCCAGTTCACGGTCGCATCACACTACTTCTGGTGTGGATTTAGATAGCCATAACATCCACTATGAAGTATTGGAAAACACCTCCGATGTTGTTTACAAGATCATCACTCTCTCTGTCATGGGTATGCAAACCCTATAGAGTATACAAGAGATAATACAAGAGAATACATGGCTAAGAGCTAAGACTAAAATACATATCGATTTCTAGCTTACTCTATCTCTCTAAGATATGCCATGTAAGCACTCCCCTAGGCTTGAGGCCTCAGCCTCCAAGATGTTTGGCTTGTGCTTGGAGATCCCTGTCGTGATCTCGTTCTTTGTATTGTTAACATTTAACCTAATGGGCTTTAATAGGCCTATTGCGTGTAGCTTGAATAAAGCCGGCACAAGTTGAACACACCTGATGAACTTTAAACCTCACAGATATGATGTTGGTTATGTGGGAAGATTATATACAAGAAGGTAGACTATTTTGCTCGTGAAATCAATGGAGTTTTAAGAAGAAGATATCATAGGAAAATGGAGGAACAGACAGAAAATCCAGAGAGATGGACCTCTGAACGAAAGTAGGGAAGAAACTATCATTAAAAACACCATGAAATCTAAGGCTACTCCCAAGTCTTCTCTCAACACTAAAGATATTTGGATGGTGTGAGAGAAATTGAATCATTAAACTGCCAACTCAGGTGAAACGAAGTAGATCACGAAAAACTTCAAAAAATCAATAGGTATGTGTCCAGCCTTAATGCTTTTGAGAGATAAATTATTAAATAGGTGTCCGGCGAGTTGACTTTATGAAGTATATCACAGCAACTAAATTACTTTACTCACTCAAGTCCAAAACAACTTATTTGAGTAGCACTCTGCTTCTTAAACTAGTATTCATATTTTTACACTCACATAATCGGTCTACACCACTTTTCAATAATTTATTATTAAGAAAAAAGTAAAAATAAACCTCACTTAAATCACACATAATAAAGTGATACAACAATAGATATAATTAGATATAGGTTCAATTTTTAAGCACACATCTGTTATGCCGGCCTGCGACCACCGGCTTTTCTCGACAGCTAACCCTGGTTCGGTTTTCTTAAAAGCCATCATTTCATCGGTTAAACCTGTTTATGTGTTATGCTCAATACTGTAATCATTAGCCGGAACTTTGTCTTCATATTTTGATAAGTCAGATAACGACACAGGGAGAAAACCCTTTTGACAACATGTCTCAATCAATTCCACCAACATCTCCTCCAGATTATACTTGTTAAATCCTATATGAGTCAGCTTCTTGGAACTGAACACAATGCTCTTTAGATTCTCATCCACACCTTCCAAACTATTCCAAATAGTTTTCTTTTCAGCAAATTTTTTTTTTTTTAATTAAATAAGCACAACAAGTTTAAACCAGTATAAAATCTATACATATATTACGTTGAAAGTACGTTGGGTATTTTTCCCTAAGAAATTCCTAGATAGTAAGAACTGTAGCATCACGAGAGGAACAAACATGACGTTCCTGGGAAACATCTTATTCGTACAAGAATATATGAGCATTGCATAAGTCGTCCAAGTGCACATACTGTCATTGTCGACTCTTATGATCGAGTAATGAGCCTCGCTCCCTAAATTATATTCGTGGCTTTAAATTAACATGTCACATTTGAAGTAAAAACAAATATTATATTTTTCTCATTCCAGTGAAAATATAGAAGACTAATTGAGATTCTCTATATAACACCCGTCACTTCCTATCTGGAGAACAGCTTGTCATCCCCGACACGTCATCAAATAACAATATAACACCCGTTTCTTTCTCTCTAGGAACGACGGACCACCAATAATATCTCGAACATAAAAGCCAATAAGCCTAACTACACTTGTCCAAGCCCAAATAAAAATCTGAATAAAAAGTCCAGTAGCACCAAGTCCATCCAAAAATCACTTGATTGTTTGTCTTGCCTGAAAGGAGGGAGGAAAGAGGGGTGAACGACTGGGGAGTCACTCAGTTAGCTATGGGATGCTACCCCAAAGTCCGTGGACCCGAACATAACACTCCGAATTAATATAAATTAATTCTAATATGTACAAACACAGTATCTAAAGTACCCAAGCAAAAAATCAATGGTCCTAGAGAGGTGCACATCGGCTGCCCACTATCATGCCAAAACCAACAACCACTCGAGATAGTGCTCGGACACTGCCCGTAGACGATTTATCGACACCACCAGGCTACGGACAAACCGGTCCACTATAGTTGGCCGTAACCTCCAAACAAACCGGCATACATTAGCACCACCGTGCTATGTATCCGTCTCACACAATTTGGCATACAGTAGCACCACCACGCTCTGTATCCGTCTCATACAATTCTAACTACGAATTTACATTAAGTGAATCAATAAATGTTGAACCATCTGACATCCTAGTTCAGGTTTAGCAAATAACCTAAATAACTAATCAAAGAGACAACAATCAGACCCTAAATGACTTAAATCACAAAGATGGAACATATTAGAAATAAAATATATTTACTTAAAGTTCTAAGTTGCGTACGAAATGTTCGGGAGTAGACCCTCACCTTAGAAATGGAGAAAAGTGGTATCTATGAACTCCAGCTGGTCAAACAGATCTCAAATCTGAATTCAAATCAAAATTTCGAGTCAGAACACCCTTCGAACGATCAAAATCGGGCGTCTACGGAAAAGTCAACCCACTGTTCAAAGGTCAACCCGGTCAACTATGACCCAAGCCGGTTAACCCTTGACCAGATTGAAATCGAATAGGACCAACCGGTTCTCCTTAACTGGATTTGATTTCAATTGAACCAGATTCAAATCAATTACAAACCGGTTTATTCCTAATCAAAATTCAATTGATTTAACTATCAGTTACCTTAACCAAATCGCAAACCAGTCAACCAACCGGTTTACTGAGTCAATCGTGTTGACTCAGCCTAGTTGACTGAATCACCGGCGACATACACTGGCGGTGACGGTGGTCCGGCGGTGCTCTGGCGATGGCTACGATTTCCGACGGCGGCTCTCCGGCGGCGCGTGTACTCCACGCGCTCGGATGGGAAACTTTGACGGGCATGCGCGGTTTCGTCTGAGGTCGGATTGCAGCATGGTCGGTGTCTACAGCTTCGTCTCGACGAGTAGAACACGGTGGTGGCTTTGCATGTACGGGATTCCCAACGGTTAAGTAGTTATCGATAATTTACTAAATGAACAAAACAAAGCTCCATCCAAGGTGATTTCTGGTGATTCTCAGCTGCGGTGAACGGTGGGGACGAGGTCGGCGTGATCATGATGTGTGGTTGTCATGGTGAGCTCCGGCGATGGCTCAGTCTTGCAAAAAGGTTCCCCACCTTCAAATTCTCTCTCTAACTCTCTCTCTCTCTCTGATTTTGCAACAAAATGAACTGATGGGGGGGAGTTGGATATTTATAGGCAATTATTAGGTTAAGCATGCTAACAAATTCTGAAAATAAAATTTGGGTCGTTACAATTTTCCCCCACTAACAATGAATACGTCCCCAAGTTTGAGTCATCCTTTGGCTGCTCAAAATTCAAGGTAACAAAACTCTGAATAATCAATATGTTTGGTGCATGAGGTCTTCAACTGAACCCAATCTCTCTTCGAACAAACTCTGACAGACATGGTCAACATTCTCTGAAATGCTTCCACTTGAGGATCCAAATTCTTCATTAACTGACAAGATGAATTAAATCTCGCCGAGGTCATCTGATAGGTGCTGCGAAATGAGTTATGGCTCTCTCACTACTTCCCTTGAAACAAACAACTGGAATCTGATAACTCTATTGATAAATCCAATCTGTGAGCAGTTACTCTAATTTGTAAACAATTGTTCCAATCCTTACCACGGTGAAATATGATCCAATATATTTCGGTTGATGCTTCTTTAGCTTCCGGGTCCTAATTCTCTCTGATATGTGCTTATTTGCAGGTATACTCGATCGCCTACCTGAAACTTCCAATCCTTACGGCGCTGCATAACTTCCCTAGCAGTCACGGCCTTTTTGAAACCAACCTTGAGCATGTCCATTTGCTATATTATCTCTCAAACCATTGATGGTTCTACAACTCGCTGCTCCCCCACTTTTGTCCTGCAAAGTGATGTATGTCAAAACCTATCATAAAAAGTTTCATATGATGCTATCTCAATACCTTCATTATAACTGTCACTGTAGGTAAACTCTGCTAGAGGTAGACACTTCCACAACTTCTTTTCCACTATAAGACACAATCTATGAACGTATCCTCAATAATATGAATGGTCCTCTCTAACTGACCCTCTGTCTTTGGATGATAAGTAATACTCAAATAGATCTTTGCGCCAAACGCCTTCTGAGAGACCCTCCATATGTAGACGTGAATTGACATCCTGATCTGATACAATGCTCACAAGAACTCCATGAAATCTTTACAATCTCTCTCATGTGTCTGCGCCAACTGACCCGCTCCAACTGCCATCAAAATTATTTGGAAAATAACTGATTTAGTGAATACATCCACAATTCCTCATATGATAGTCTGTCCACATGAGATGATCGACAATCCAGCAACAGCATCCATAATCGCTGTGGGAACCGAAATCCACCTACTGTCAAATAACCGTAAATAAGGAAACTTTGGGAAAACCCTAAGTTTCCAGAGGAACCGGCTATCTGCAGAACCGCACAACAAAGATTAAGAAAACGATAAACTTAGAATTCAAAAAAGAATAAACGAAATTGAGAGCAAAGAGGTTATTATTCCGAATCTGTGTAGAACTGGTACAAAAAGAGTAGCCGAAAAGCTTAAGACCGAAAAACCCTAATTGAGACGCAGCTCGCTAACAGAAAACGGAAATATTCCTAAATGCTAATTTCTGGTGGTGAGAGCTCTGAAAATCGTGTCCCTTGCTTCTGCCCTAGACCTCTTACTTATATACTCCTCGCCTTGGCCATTCGGTCTTTCCATTCCGCCCAGATTTGAGTATATCGGGAATCTTCCATTTTTCTCGATCCTTCCTTTTCTTCCGCGGAAATCTTCTATTTTTCTTCAAACCTGTCTTTTATCTTCAAGCTTGACATTTATTTACCTCCTGCGAGTAAACCGTCAAAACTTTATCGTATCTTCGGGTTAGATTCCGTTAAGATCGCGATAAATCCGTTTTCCGACCTTGTACGGGATCGTTTCCTGATCTGATGCCGTTTTTAGTAAATTCCTCGAGCCAATTGTAAGGTTTTACGATTTACTCGATGTTTTTATTAAAAACGCGTTTTTTTACGATTTACTCGACGTTTTTATTAAAAACGCATTTTTTTACGATTTTAACGAGAAATCTCGAATAAATCGTATAATTTAGGCAATGTTCATTGTTTCGTTTAACCGTTGCCGTTTTATAGGATTTCCTCGAGTTCTTTGTCGAGAAAACGAAGTTTTACGGTTTTTATCGTAAAACTCGAACAATAGGTCGGATCGAGATGGAACGGGAGACATTTCGGCCATGGTTCAGAATGCGACCGTGTCGAAAGACGTAAGTTTCGAATCGAGGATGCGGGAGATCGAGGCTCGGGACGTCCAGGAAGTCTCTAGTTCGTCCAACGGCTAACTAAGCCGGCTGGCTTAGTTCGCCGGTGGGCGAACTAGTCGGGACAGGACTAGTTCGCCCACCGGCTAACTAAGCTAGCTTGGCTTAGTTCGCCGGTGGGCGAACTAGTCGAGATGGACTAGTTCGCCCACCGGCGAACTAAGCCAAGCTGGCTTAGTTCGCCGGTGGGCAAACTAGTCAAGGGTCTCCTAGTTCGCCGATGGGCGAACTAAAAACTTCTCGGATATCCAGCGCCTCGATTTCCCGCATCCCCAATTCAAAACTTACGTCTTTCGACACGATCGCATTCTAAACTACGGCTATAACATCTCCCATTCCATCTCGATCCGATTTACCGTTCGAGTTTTACGATAAAAACCGTAAAACTTCGCTTTGTCGGAAAGAACTCGAGGAAATCGTATAAAACGGCAACGGTTAAACGAAGCACCGAACATTGCCTAAACTATACGATTTATTCGAGATTTCTCGTTAAAATCATAAAAACGCGTTTTTTAATAAAAAACGCCGAGTAAGTCGTAAAAAACGTGTTTTTAATAAAAAACGCCGAGTAAGTCGTAAAAAAACGTGTTTTTAATAAAAAGTCGAGTAAATCGTAAAACCTTGCGATTAACTCGAGTAATTTATTAAAAACGACGTCAGATCAGGAAAAGATCCCGTAAAAAGTCGGAAAACGTTTTTTATCGCAAAACGGCCCGGAAGGACCTAAAACGCGATAAAAACCCATCTCGCGATTTCAATGGAATCTAACCCGCAGATTTGATAACGTTTTGACAGTTTATTCGCAGAAGGAAAATAAAGGCAAGTTTGAAGATAAATAGAAGATTTCCGCGGAAGAAAAGGAAGGATCAAGAAAAATGGAAAATTCCCGAAATACTCAAATCCGGCAAAATGGAAAGATCGAACCGTCAAG